GTCATTTTTTTTGAGATGGAAACCACTGTATTTGAGATGAAGAATATGCAAAATGAGATTAAAATAGAGTAGACATTTCAGAAGAAAGCATTAGTAAATTTGGGGATACAGCAATAGAAACGAAAAGAAAGAGAAGAAAAGGAAAAAAATTGACCAGAGTATCAGTGAGCTGTGGGACAACTTCAAGTGGCCTACTATACAGGTAATTGGAGTCAATAAAGGAGGGAAGGGCAGAGAAAATATTTGAAGAAATAATGTCCATAAATTTTCCAACTTTCATGAAAAGTTCAGGCCTACAAATCTAAGAAGTTCAATGAGCCCCAAGCACAAGAAACACAAAAAATACTATACCAGGGCATATAAAATCAAATTGCTAAAGTTAGTAATACAGAAGAGGTCTTAAGAGCAGCAAAAGAGTAAACAGTACATATAGAGAAACAAAAATAAGAGTCACAACAGAAATAATGTAAGCCAGAACACTGAAGCAAAAACTTCAAGGTACAGAAAAAAAAATTTCAACTTATAATTTGAAAATATCTTTCAAAAACAGATGTGACAATGGGAAAAGAAGAATCTCTTCAATAAATGGTGCAGGAATAACTGGAGATCAACATGCAGAAGAATGAAGTAGGGCACTTATCTCATACCATATACAAAAACAAACTCAAAATGGATCAAAGATCTAAATATAATAGCTAAAACTATAAAATTTTGGGGAGAAAACATAGGGATCTTTATGACTTTGAATCTGGCACTAGTTTCTTAGCACAAAGCAACCAAAAAAATACAAATAAATAAATTGGACTTACTCAAAATTAAAACTTTTCTGTATCAAAGGACACTATCAAGAAAGTGAAAAGATAATCCACAGAATGGCAGAAAATATTTGCAAAATCATACATCAGATAAAGTTCTAGTATCCAGAATATATAAAGAGCTCTTTCAGCTCAACAACAAAGACAACCCAAATAAAAAGTGGGGAAACGGCATGTATAAGAGATACCTCTCCAAAGATATACACAAGGCCAGAAAGGTCACCACAACATGCTTGACATCATTAGTTATTAGGGAAATGCAAATCAAAACCACAAAGACATTCTACTTCACATTCACTAGGATGGATATGTATATATATATATATATATATATATCAAGAGAAAATAGTAATTGGTGACAAAAACATGGAGAACGTGGACCCTCACTTCATACATTGCTGCTGAGAATGTAAAATTGGCAAAAGATTCCTCAATAAGTTAAACACAGAATAACCATATAACCAAGCAATTCCATTTGTAGCTATGTACCCAGGAGAATTAAACATAGATGTTCAAACAAAAATATGTACACATACACATTCATATCAACACTATTCATAATAGTCAAAAGGTAGAAACACAAATGTATATTGACAGATGAATGGATCAACAAAATGCATTATATCAATTAAATAGAATATTATTCACCCATAAAAAGGAATGACATACTTATCCATGCTACAACAAGGATGAATCTTGAAAATACTATGCTAATTGAAGGAAGCCAGACACATAGGCCATGTATTACATGATTACTTTTGTAATAAAAATTCAGACTAAGCAAATCTGTAGAGACAGAAAGTTGATTAGTGGTTGCCAGGGGCTTGGGGTAATAGGTGAATGGGGAAGTATCTACTTAATGGACATGAGATTTCCTTTTGGAGTGATGAAAATATTCTAGAAGTAGACAGCGGTAGTGACTGTACAACACTGTGAATACACTGTCACTGAAATGTACACTTTAAAATGGTTAAAATGGTGAATTTTGTTATATGAAGTTTGCCACAATAAAAAAATTACCATAAAAGTCTATTCTTTTATTCATCTCTCAAACATTTATTGAACAATGTAGGCAAGCTTTATTCTGGATGTAAGGAATACAGAGAATAATCAGATATGGTCTTCACTTTTGAGTTCATAGGCTGTTGAGGGAGAAAAAACATTCTGCAAACGATTAAGTTCAATTAAGTGTTAAAGTTTCTTTGACTTAAGAGTGTGTATGTACACTGAGGGTGGCCGGCTTGCCATTGTAGAGAACAGCAATGATAAGGTTAAGTCTTGAGTGCTGAGTAGGAATTTGCTGGATAGATGGCAGCAGTGAGGGATTGCACACAGAGGGTGTGACCTAAGGAAGCTCAAAAAGCTGGAGTCCAAAAGCCTCATTTTCAGCAAAGTCTAAACCATACAGCGCATGTGCAGCAGTGTACGGGATGGGCTTCAGGACAGTGAGGTGATAGGTGGGTAACCACTTCAATCTGGTTGCAGTAAGGAATACGAAGAAATGTTCGGGTAATGACATGGACCTCACTGAATGTGAGGGTCCAAGAAGTGTGATTCCATGATTACGCCGCTTGGGTGGTGGCTACTGCATGTCCCTAAGGTGGGTCTAGAGGACATTCTGTTCTTAGAGCACACCAAACCAGAATTTACACCTCTCTTCCCCATCTGATGTATTCTATTGTTTTTAATGATTTTTTTTTTTTCATTTGAAGCCTACTTCCCTTTTCTTGGGCTTCCTCTGTTTTCCTGTTTGAAATATATGTTACTATGGAAATGTCATGGCACAGTATAGTGGCATTTACAAGTGAAGTGTAAAGAATTTTCAGAACATCTAGAAACACAAGTCTATGGCTTAGGAATATAAACCCTAATGATGTGATAGCATTCATGCCTTCAGACACCGTGTCATAAATATAAACATATCCGGAAATTTGATACAGCATAGAGGAGATAGTTGAGAACTTCATTAGGATTTATGCGCCCAGATTTTAAAAATATATATGAGAAATATTAAAAACATAAAACCTAACCTACCACTTGGGAAGGACATCTGGAAAAAATGAATGACAGAATGCCAGCATTTACTTATGAATATACACCTCTGGAAGGAGGACCAGAGGGCCTGGATATCCCCAAGGAAGCGTGGAAAAGCCTTTGTCCTACTTCTATGCTATAAATATGTTTCCTAAAAATTGCATGTAAATCAACTGTTGGTAAAGCATATTTATCAAATGTGAGGTTGAGTGCGGTTTTAAAGATATCTTACCAATGTACACATTAGTAAAGGCAATCATTACCAGTGGAGTAATGGAAAAAAACTCACTGGGCTGAGTGAAATTCAGCCTTATTATCCTGGCTCCACCACTAGCTAGATGTTGATTCAAGAAAAATCACTCAACCTCCGTGGGCCAATTTCCTCATCTAAGCTGAGTTGTAATTCTGAATTTTCACTTATTAGGTTCTTAAAGCAAGGTACAGGAATACTAGCCCACAGCCTGACATCCAGTTTCTTCTGAGAGGTAAAATTTCACACCGCATCTTGGGGATAGTAATAACCAGCAGGCCAGTTACCATTGCTCTGTGTGTTTTGCCTTTTTATACCTCTACTTTCTCATTCCCACAATCACCCTATGTGTGATCATTCTAACTTTCTGTCCCAAATTCTTCTTTTTTTTTTCCTGTCCCAAATTCTTTATAAAATTTTGTTACTTACAGCTATTCTTTGGGAAAGATGGACAGTCTAAGGTGGGAACCCATTCTTAGTGGTCTCTCTACCTCTGGCCCTTTTCCTATGCCATGAGGCTGGGCACAGCCTAAGGGCAAGGGCCCAACCCTCTGTGCCTCACACAGGCTCAGACCTGAAGAAGGAATTCAGTGCATGAAAGTCCACTGGATGTTCCTGGATGAAGATGAGGCAGAGAAATGGGTCTGGTGAAACACCTGAACCCTAGGGGTGAACTATTGGCTGCTGTTTCCCAACATTCCTGAACCTTGCAAAATACCCACAAAAGGGCAGAAATATAAACATACCATAAAGCATTAAACCCTCTTTTTCCTGGCTTTCTGTCTGGCCTCCCATAAAAATGCAAACTTTGCCCAGTTCACCAGCTTTGGGAACAGGACATGGGACACACATCTTTAACAGAAACAGCCATTACAGTTTCTGCATCTGTTCTGCTTAAACAGCAATGACACCATGCATTTGTCTTTGTGGACCTAACACCTGCCATCTAGCCCCAGGCCGAGACCCCTGCCAACTGGCTTCCGAAAAGGCCATCTATCAACAGTGTTTAGGCACCACCCTGATTAATCTGCCATGCAGGAAGTACAAAACACAACTGTAAGAATTATTTGTCTTCTTAAGGAAAAATAGGTTTAGGCCTTATTAACTGGCAAGAGCTAGAAGGCAATGGGTCAGGCTTTTTGCTGATTATTGCCATTTTGTAGAGAGATTCAAGAGCCATTAGGAAGACTGACAAAGCAAAGGAAATCACTATCTATTGAGTCCTTTACTACATACATGCCAGGTTTTGTGCTAGGTGCCATCTACATTATTTAAAGTAAGCCTCACATCTAATAATCACTAACAGGCTATATTCTTGCTCTTGTCTGTCTCCCCCACTTAAATGTATGCTCAGGATGAGGACTATTCTTTTGCCTCATTTATTGCTCTATTCTCAGTGTCTAGAACAGTGTCAGATATACAGAAGCAGTCAAATATTTCTTGAACCAATACAACGAATAAATCTACGAGACAAGTGTTACTATTCTTTTACTAATGAGTAAACTGGGGTGCTTCAAGGGTGCAAAATGAACTGCCCCAAGTCACATGGTTTGTTGAGGAGCCAGTACCAACACCCACTCTCACTCTTCTGTTCTTTCTACAGACCAAGAGACTTACACTTTGATCTTGAAGAACTCTCTCAACTTGACAAATCTATATATGCCTATAAAAGATTTACATACTCATTTGAAAATTTGAAATTTTGCCAAAGAGATATAATTGGCATTTAAATGATAAACATTTTGCTAAAGCAACAATGAAGGACAAGTTTTCCCAACATAACAACAATTTCATCTATGGATAGGCATTATCTAAATCATATCTCACTTTAAAATCCCATAACATGATTAGTCTTCAGATGTGATTACTTTTCAGACAGTAAAAAGCACAGCAATTCCAGATTCATCAAAATAACATTTGCAAACTTTATTTTTGCAAGTTACAACATTAGGATGACTAATGACATGCTGTGGAATTATCAGTGTGGAATACCAAATATTCCCATGTACATCCGTGTTGCTTGAATGTCCTAGTGTGGGAGGAGGTAGAGCTTGGCACATCAAAAGCCATTCCTATCCTTAAAAAAATGATATGGGAGGCTCAAGAATTCTTCAGAGAATTAACTGTGATAAAATCCATCTTGAGAATATTCACTTTGTATGAAAGAATAAAAGAATGAGGTTAATTTTGCTTGGGAGAGTATTCCATATCCTTTCCCATTGTCAGAACATACTCGACTTATGTGTTCTTTTATTTATCTAAGATTATGCCACAGGAACATGCCACTCATGGTTAACTTCTCTCACCTTGGTTTTTCTGTAGGGATTCTGGTCACTCGCATGCTCCTTGGCAGGCCCTTTCCCCTTCTGTCCCACTCTTGCTACCAATTCAGTATCATAATGCTTCCGTGCCCACCTAGCCAGTTTACTGTTCATGGACCAAACTAGAGGTTTGGCCTGTCTCCATTGACACCTTTTGGTGCTACCATTTTATTCTGATAGTAAATGTGGTAATATTTTGGAGAAATTTTTAAAAGAGAAGAAGCAAAAAAATTAAAAAAACACTTATACCCCAACCACCCAGAGTCAGCTACCTGTTTCAGTCATTTAAAAAGAAACATCTTTGGATTTATATATACTATCCTGTGTACCACTCTTTTCATTTAACATTATAAGCATTTTGCCATGCTCTTTTAACTATTCATAAACATTAATTATAATGACTACATAATAGTCTATTGTATGGTCATACTGTAATTTATTTAACCAATTTTCTGCTGTTGGACTTCTAGATTGTTAAGCATAAATTCTGCCCACATTTTAGACTATTTCTTTAGGAAAGAGTCCCAGAAGCAAAATTAGAGGATCAGAAGATATAAACATTTTTAAACCTCCTGATAGATACTGCCAAATTGCTTTTCAGAAAGCTGTTGCCAATTTACACTTCCAACACTGCCAGCGTTTTTTCTACCAATACAGATCTGTCTAAAGGATAATAAAATTTAAGTGGAACATACAGTCCTCAAATTATTCATGCAGTTGGAGAGGCTTCATGACCGCAGCACAGAGGTCTCTGGCAAAGGTCAGACCTGTTGCCGGGTATTCAATGAACAATGAGTTACTGTGAGCACATGGAAGAGGAGTTCTATAAAAATGAAGAATAATGACATAATTAGATTGCAGACTGTCAGATCTAAGGCCTGTGTCTGTTTGGTCCATTGCTGCACCCCAGCACATAGGACAGTGTCTGGCACATAAAGTCACTTGATAAAAACGTGTTGAATTAACACAGACTCTTCTTTCAGATGCATTTTTTCAGCAGCTATAGGAGTTAATCACTCCTGGATTCAAGGGAAATTTGACTGGCTAGATTATAAATACCCTGGTTGCAACTTAGAACTATTTGCAGTATGGCCCAAACTGTTTCTGAGATATTATAAGGGCATAATATAGATATTAATCTGTGTTTATCTCATTTTTAGTCAATACAGTTGAAATTAACTAGTCAATCATTCAGTTCTAGTCCACCCTCCTGGCATTGTAAAGATTCCCTTCAATATTCCACAATTTCCATTTGTAAACTGTCAGACACTGCTGCATCAATATGACATTAACAACGTTATTGATGGGAAGGGGTCAATCATCTGTCATTTTATATACACACTTTATATACATTGGACCAGGGGTAGGCAAACTATGGTCCACGGGCCAAACCTTGCCCACCATCTGTTTTTCTCTGATGTATAAGCTAAGAAATCTAAGAATGGCTTTTCAAGTTTTTAAACAATCAAACAAAATCAAAATAGTATTTTGTAACATGTGAAAACCATATGAAATTCAAATTCCAGTATCCATAAATAAAGTTTTATTAGGACATAGCCATGTTTATGTGTTTCTGTATTAGTTAGGTCTGCTTTTGCAATGCTGAGCAGTTAAACACAGGCTATATGGCCCACAAATCCTAAGACATTTCCTCTATAGAAAAAGTTGACCCCTTCACTAGACCCAAGAGTCCTTGGAGGTAGTGAACTTTCCCACTATAGATTTTTTATTTCTAGTTATTAATACTGAGAGAAGGGTGATGCAACTGGGACAGTATTCACAAGAATCTGATAAGGTAGAGACTAAAGCAAATAAATACAATTGCCTTGGATGGTGTGTAAAGCCTGGTAAAATCTGAAAAGTCTTATCCAACCAAGAAGCAGTTGGAGAACGCAGGTTGTATATATAGTCCCAGCAGCAAATGAACCTTTTGTTCCAGCAGTAAAGGAACCTCTTGCTAATTGAGCGACATGAGACCCTGGTAAGACCCAATCCCAAGGAGCCTCGTGAGACTTGCTGACAAAATGGTCTCCAAATAGCAGGCTGGCTGGGCAGTGTATGTGATGCAGAGACCGACAGTTCCCCAACAGTACCCCCGTCCTTTACTAGATGTCCTCAACTCAGTTGGTACTCAGATTGATCTAGGCATCTCCACTGGCAAATCTGAACTCTAAGAAATGGATCTGAAAAGAAAGCTCTGGAAAGCAGGCCCCAGCTACACATTCTTCCCAAACAATAATCTTTCAATGAGGATTCAGAGCCAGGGGCAGAATTCAGATGTTTTTTGAAATCAAAGATGGGTGAATATTTCATTCTGTTTTTGCTCGTTACCTATGGGGCAGGGGAAGGCAAGGTAGGGAGAGGTGATAGGCAGAGGAAGAATGAGATAAAATCACTGTTGGGATGATCTGCCCTGGAAATTATCTATTCTCCTAGACTTTCAGCTGTGGAATATAACATTCCATGTGGATTTTGAACCAGAATGGGATGTAGAGGACAATCAGCTTGAAAGCCAAAGAGATTCATTAACTGTGTGTTGAGCTTGAGAATTACAGTCAAGGCTTGCAGATGGCCAGCTCTCTTCCTGATGTCTTACTGAGAGCCAGGCTTCATATTCTACATTTAGGTGGAGCTTACCCTGAGAGAATGGGATTTCAATACTGTATTTCTGAAAAACTTTCACAACTCCTTACTGCCAGAGATAACTAAATTGCCTCCTTAAGAAACTTGTTACACTGGTTGCCTCTGGGGAGTGGCTAAGGGTGGGAGGGAGCTTTTCTTCTTCCCAGTATATCTCTTAGATAAAACAAAAACAAGCATACATCCCTCCATGTCCTCCCACCATACTTCTTGAGGATAGGAAAGCAACTTGTGGCCAATTTTCCTGCTCAAGACTATAGGGCTGAAGTGGAGAGCTGGAAAAAGGATCCAAAAATTAGAGAGAGTTGTAAGTTGAATGGAAAATCTTGACCAGAAGGGAGGGAGGTGTGATCCTGAACCAGAAAACAAAGCACCTGTGTAACAGAGAAGAAAGAACAAACTGATGGGGAATAAACAGAGGTATATAAGAAAAGCCAAGACAAGAGCCTGGGACATGATGACAGGTAGGTTCTTGAGACTACAGGATCAGGAGCTCAAGAAACCTGTGGGGCAGGTGGAAGTGCAAGATACAGTTCAGGGTAAATTTTGTATCAGCAATAAAACAGATTTGGTGAGTGTGTACATAAGGGGTACTGTTTTATGAGAACTGTCCCATTTAGGGATACTCTTAGATTGTGCTCTGGCCTGGGGTTTAGTGAATCTGAGCAGACACACATGTTTGTTTGCTGCGGATGAGTGTTAGGGCAGAAATTTTACTTCCTCAAATCTGAGCCATCATAATAGGGTCTATTATCATTTCATTTAATATTTTCTGAGAAGTCTTGCAAATGGGCAATGGGTTTTAATAGCACTGTGGTTTGAACTGACTAGTACTCAGCACATGATCTAAAGTAAAAAATTAAGTCCTTTTCATTATTATAGCTACTTGTAACAATTTGAATTCACATTCTTAATTACCTGCTTCCAGTTGCTGTGTCCAAACCCTGTCTGGGCCAACAATGCTTCTGGTACCCTATGCTCCAGCATGGTCTTGGTCCAGCATCTTTGGAAGGCTCACTCCAGCCCTGTTCACAGGACAGGAATAAGTCCAGAAGTAAGTTCTCTCAGGTTGGAGATAAGGCTTAGAGATACTGTTGTAGGATCCTGGCCCTGGCCGAGGAGCATACAATTCTCCAACAATTATCACTGAGCCTAGCAATAATTAATATGAGGTTCCGCCACCAAGTTGCAATGGCCAGCTATGGGGGCTTTGTTCTAGAAGTGCAGTGTCCCTGGTGGCAAGTGCTTGTGGGGAATGAGAGCCTCATCTGATGTGGAAGATGTTAATGGTCCTGAAATGGAATGTCTACAGATGGCTAAGTAGGTGGTAGTCTATAAGCTGTTGTTTGGTTTAAGAGTTTTCTTGCACAAGATCTTTTATTTGTGGGATAAGGTCTAGGTTTTAGGGTACCTCAAAATTGACAGGTATTAATAGGGAACCTGTCATTTTTTGAAAGGAATAGAGACAGTGAAAGAAGAGAACTAAACATAACTGCGTTGTTAAATAAGTGTTGGGCTCCTATCAACCAATATGGTTTACTAATTTAATAGTTAACTAATAGTAGCCATTACATGAAAAACCCTTCGATAAAACAGACATTGGCTAATCCTGTGAAATGCTGTTTCTAACCATCCTTCCACTACCCCTCCATTAGGCATTTCTGAGATGTTTCCAGTCTATGTGGTATTACTTGGAATCCACTTGGGGAAAGTTCCATTCCATAAGTCCTGGCAGGGAGGCAGAAAGAGATAAAGGAGTTTGAACTTGCAGAGATGGCTTTTTTTTTTTTTTGAGGGGGGGGGTGTTGATGGGAAAACTACATAATCAAATAAGTGAGCTATTTATAAACCTATCCACAGATTAAAGGGGAGCAATTTATAAATCAATGGCATAGTTAGGAGAGAGGAGAAAAAGCAAATCATCCCAAATTGTGCATCTTCTGCAACAGCATTATCTTCCTCCAGACTTTGCTATTTCAGCCAACAGTGCCATCATTTTCATACTGATGCAGGTTCAAAGCCTCATACTATTCCCCTTGCTTGGGAAGCTTTCTCTAATTTCCTACCCTCCTGTCTCACCTTTCCTTATGGATCCAGTTCAGGAATCATCTCACCTGCACGTCACCCAGCCTTGGTGATCTTGTTTTATACCTTTACACTGTCAATACCCAGCAGTGTTCTAAAAACTGCAGGTGCTCAAAAACCACCTGACAGTGTTGGCATTAGTTACTAAAAACAGGAAGCTGTGAGGGAATCAGTACATAGAGAGCAGGCTCCCTTAATTCAGAATCTGGAGTATCACCTAGTTTACCGCCTCACACATCACAGCCTGGGCCTGAGTCCCCCGGCTTCTATTTTCTAGGACCAAATCCTCCTCTTCAGCAGAGGGGATACCAAAATGGTGGGGGTCAAGAGCACAGGATTCATGAAACAAATCCAGCTCTTCTGTAAGAGATAGATCTGTGAGAAGGTTAGTATAGGTGGCAAACCCCTAAGTACTGAGGGGTTCCCACTGAGTCATTTGGGCTAGATATGCCCTTAGCATTGCTCACTAGGTCAGCATGCCACTGCCTTCTGTACCATACCTCAGGTCCGGCCTGTGAAGCAGGCTGGAATTGTAGGTCTTCTTTTGGGGTCCTCCCCAGAATATGCCTTCTTGGGCACAGAAGGACTCTGGGAGGTCCTGTTCCCACCTTTCAATAGTATGATCCCCTGAGGCAGAAATGTTGAGAACACAGGAACAGGACAGCCGCAACAAGCTAAGATTTGGGCAGTGAGGAGATCCAAACTTGTTAAGCACAAGAAACTGAGAACAAGCAAGTATCCTAAGTCAACAGCCAAAAGTTCCTCAAAATTGGAAGATGATGGCCCAGTAGTCCAGCAAGAGTAACGAGGAGGGCCATAAAATGTCGAGAAAGAGCAGTAAAGGCTGAAAACGGATGAGTAGCATATGAAGGTGCCTAACCCTGAGGCAGCTTTCTAGCTCAGGCTCAGCTACCTCACATTCCTTTCACCAGGGTGTGAACCAATCCTGAGCTGTCCTGGTGGGAAGGCTTGTTGATGAAGCCTGCAGAAGCTGGCTGGCAGGGTAGTGGTTCTGGGGATGAGATACGGGCAGGGTTAGTTCCCCACCAGCTTCGCACTGGAGATGAGTCCACGTGTCAGAACTTGTCTTTTTCCTTACACACGAGCTATTCTTCCTACTTTCCTTTGAAAGATCAGACTGAAAGTCAAATCTCCGAGGTTTAGGTTCCTCTTTCAAAATACCTGACATAACTTTTGCAGAAACTTTCCTCATATTCAAGTTTTCTTTCAGAATGAGCCTAACGGTTTCTTTATCTAAATTTAACTCTTCGGCGATCATCCTCACCGTCAGCCGCCTGTTTGAACAAACCAAGTCCTTGACTTTCTGGATATTTTCATCCGTCCGATGGGTGACTGGACGACCACTTCGGGCGTCATCTCGAACATCTTCCCGCCCTTCTTTAAATCTTTTATGCCAGTCGAAAACTCGCGCCCTTGACATGACTTCGTCCCCATAAGCTTCTTTCAAAAGGTGGTGGGTCTCACTCGCAGACTTGCTCAATTTCACGCAGAATTTGATACTAATCCTTTGTTCTAGATAGCGGTCACTCATTCTGACACTTAACACAGGAAAGTTAAAAGACCACAACTGTAAGGGGAAGACAGAGGAACCGATCTCTATAGGGCCGCAGGCGGAATCATGTCGCTATTAATGCTCCTCCAGAAGCCTCACCAGGGAAGAGTAATTGCTTTCCTGAGTTTTCGCCCCTCAGCTTCCGGGCGAGGCTGGGGAGACCCGTCCTGAGAAACTAATGGGGCCAAAGAGTAGCTGCAAAGCTGGGGGAAATAAAATCTCCCGCACGTCTCTTCAACTTGTGCACGCAGGTCTGCGGAGAGTGTGCAAATCAAGTCGGCAAGGTCTTCCCTGATTCCGCGGCCCTTCAGCGTCTATGGCGATTTCTGCAACAGAGGCCTAAGTGGTGGCAACGGAGGCAAGCAAGGAGAGAGGCGCCGGTGATACTCCGCGCAAGCTCTCCCCAGATCTGCGGAAACCCGCGCACGCCAAACCTACCGAAGGTACCGGGGGCTCGGCCGCTCGGGAGTCCCAGGAGACACGCCCGCATGCGCAGTGTCCACTCCTCGCGGGGTAGGCTGTGCGCAGGCGCACTGCGGCAGCCCGCGCCAGGCCCAGCCCCCGCCTCGCCACACCCAGGCCGGCGCGCTTCTTTGCGCGTGCCCGCCTGTGGAGAAGTCGGCGGAAAGGAGGGGCGGGGGAGGAAGGCTGAGGGAAGAGAGGGCACCCCCGGGCGCCAGGGTGCATTGTGGGAAGGAGGCGGCAGCGTCCCGGGCGGGCGGGAGGTGCACCAGCGGCAGCTGCGGCGGCGGCGGCGGTAAATCCTCCCGGCCGCTCACAGCACTGTGGAGCCGCGTCCCCAGCCCGGCCTCGGACCGCGGCGCCCCTCCTGCCCCTCGCGGCTTCTCGCCCGCCGCCCCTCCCCCCGGCGCGCCGGCCTGGCCGAGCCGGCCGGCCGGCCTGGCTCCCCTCCCCGGCCCCGACGGGCGGGCGGGCTGCCCTGAGGAGGCGGGGAGGGGAGGGCTGGGCCGGCCGGCGGGTGGGCGACGATGCCGAACTTCTGCGCTGCCCCCAACTGCACGAGGAAGAGCACGCAGTCGGACCTGGCCTTCTTCAGGTTCCCGCGGGATCCGGCCAGGTAAGCGGCGGGCGCGGAGCCGGCAGCCCCGGGCCCACCCCCGAGGCGCGCGCTGCCAGCCGCCGGCCGCGGGGCCGCGGGGCCGCGGGGCTGCGTGGGGAGTGGGCCGCGGGCCGCGGTCGTCGACCCCAGCTTCGGCCCGAGGTGGGCCACAGGCCTTGCGCCGCGCGCGGGCCGGGGGCCGCCCGGGGCCCTCGGAGCACGTGCGCCAGCGGGGGCTCGGCGCGGCGGGCACCACCCGAAACACGGGGCGACTGGGGCGGCGCGCAGGCGAGGTGAGCCGGGTTCGCCCCTGGTCGGGTGCTGGTGACCTCGGGCGGGTCGCTCCGCTCTCTAGGCTTCAGTTTCCTCAGCTGTCAAAAGAGGGACTTGGATTCTGTGATCGGGGTCACCAGGGCCCTTCCCTCTCCTTGCCGCCACCTCTGCAACAGGGTTGCTTTTTTAGTCTGCTCACCTTTGATCTCGTCAAGTCACAGTTACTTGCTACAGCGGACCTGATGTTCCTGGTTCAAATTATGGCTCTGACCGTTATTCATTGTCTCACTTGGTTAACGGGGGGTGGGGGGCGTGGGGTGGGAATTGATGCTGAGCCCTCTTCTTTGAGAGGGAACCCACACGCTCTGACTTTTTTTTTTTTTTTATGATAGTCAGAGAGAGAGAGAGAGAGAGAGAGAGGCAGAGACACAGGCAGAGGGAGAAGCAGGCTCCATGCACCGGGAGCCTGATGTGGGATTCGATCCCGGGTCTCCAGGATCGCGCCCTGGGCCAAAGGCAGGCGCCAAACCGCTGCGCCACCCAGGGATCCCCCTCTGACTTATTTTTAAAGAGTGACAGAGTAGGGACTGCGGGAAGTCTGAAGAATTTTCCTCGGTCTCTTGTTGATTCGTTCTTTTCAAACCAGTACTGACTGTGCCCACACTAGTGTTAGGTGTCAGAAATTCAGACGTGAATTGAGACAGTGTTGCTGCCTGCAGAGAGCTCACAGTCTGTTGAGACAGATGTAGAAGGCGATTGTAATATAGCATCCTATATTCCACAAATATTTTTTTTTAGTTTCATAAATATTTATTGGAGGCCTACTATACGCTAGGCATTGCTCTAAGCACTAGTGCACAGATGAACAAATCAAAGTACCTGCTCCTGAAGTTTATATCCTAGTGGAGGAAGACAAATATGTATATACAGTATGTCATGTGGTAAATACTATGGAGGAAAGGCAAATGCTGCAGGCTGGAGGAATAAGGAGTAGCAGGGGAGGCACAATTGCTATTTTAAATTGGGTGATCAGAGAAGGCCCCACTAAGGTAAATTTGAGCAAAAACCAGAAGTAGTTGAGCGGGCCAACCATGGAGATGTCTAGGAGAAAAGTGTTCTAGTCTGTGGAAACAGTAAATGGGAAGTCAAGGCATGCGTGTTACAGGTACAGCCAGAAGTCCATGGACGGTAGAGCTGGTTTAAGGAAGGAAGGGAGAGGGGAAAAAAATGAGACCAGAAAAGCGTGTGTATATTCGTATGGTAGGGGCAAATTGTGTAGGACATTGTAGGCCGTGTGAAGCACTGTGGCCTTTATTCTCAGTGAGACACAAAGTCATACAAGGGTTTAGAGCAGACTGACTATATTTATTTTTTAAAAGATTTTATTCATGTATTCATGAGAGACACACACACAGAGAGAGAGAGAGAGAGAGAGAGGCAGAGACCCAGGCAGAGGGAGAAGCCGACTCCATGCAGGGAGCCCGACGTGGGACTCAATCCCAGGTCTCCAGGATTCCGCCCTAGGCTGAAGGCGGCACTAAACCGCTGAGCCACCTTGGCTCAATAAAATCTTTTTTTTTTTTTAAGGCAATTGCAGTAATCCAGGTTAGTAGAGGAGGAGGTGGTAAACTTCTATTTGAGATACTTTTTTTAAAAAAAAGATTTTATTTATTTATTCATGACAGAGAGAGAGGCAGAGACACAAGCAGAGGGAGAAACAGGCTCCATACAAGGATCCTGATGTGGGACTCAATCCTGGGACTCAAGGATCACACCCTGAGCCAAAGGCAGACGCTCAATTGCTGAGCCACCCAGGCACCCCTTGAGATATGTTTTGAAGGTGAAGCCAACAGGATTTGTTAATGGTTTAGATGTAAGTTGTAAGAAAAAGGGAAGTCAAGAATGACTCAAGATTTTTTAGCTTGAGCCTTTGTTACTGAGCTATGGAAGACTGGGAGGAGCAGATTTGGTGGAGACATGTTAAAAATTTGGTTTGGGATGTGAAGTTTGAGGGGCTTGATAGATGTTCAGGAATACTCCAGAAATGAACTCAAAATGGCTCATATTTAGATCAGTAACCTAAATATTTTAGAGCTAAAACCATAAAGAGATTGGAATTTAGAGACATTCAGACTAGTTTGTAAATATGGATGTTCTCGGATTATAGAGGACATCTAAAGTCATGATCTGGGGTAAATAAAGCAGTGTATGTCTGGTGATTGAGCCCTGAGGCATTCCTGGTGTTTAAAGTTCAGGGAGGTGAGGAAGAGCTAGCTCAGAAGAGTGAGGAATAGCTGTTGGATTCTGTGGGAGCAGAGAAGGTGAGCACCTGAATCTGACTGGGCCTTAACCCTTTAAGCATAATTTTCTTTTTACCCAAATTTTAGCCCAAGGGCAGTCTTGAGAGTATATTTCACTTGCATAATGAGGACAACATTAGTTGATTCTGGACCACAGGTCATTTGTGTTGTAAACTATAGCGAATGCTCTTTTCATTACACTTTTTAGAGGGGGAGTATGGCCAATGGGGGTGTACAGTCTCAAATTTGGAAGGAGTTTTTAGATCTAGTGCAGTCTGTCCCCTTTGAGAATCTAACATAAGGACGTTACTTGAGAAAAGACAGAGACACAATTTTGCATTCCACTATCAAGGTATTTACAGACCCTTTAGGGGCCCTGTGCATTCCTGATAGGGCCTTTGCTGAAACACCTCTAATGACTATTCTGTTTTGTGAAGGGACACTTCAAGATTTGGACAGCTTTGGCTGTTGTTTCTTCCTTGTATTAAGTGGAAATATGCCTCCCTATAAATTATGCTTTGGAGGTCCTAGTTTTGTTCCTACAGTCACATTGAGCAAATCTGTTCTATTTTCTATGTCAGAGTCCTTTGAATACTTTAAGACCAAATTATGAACTTCTTTTTTAACTCTTTTAAACATCTTTATTGAGGTATAATTCACATATCATACAATTCACCCATTTAGAATGTATATTAAGTGCACTTTAATATACATTATACAGTATTATTGTATATTCAGTATATATTGCATTAAACATTTTGGTAAAACATATAACATAAAATTTGCCATTATACCATTTTTAAATATGTAATTCATTGGCATTAATTACATTCACAGTGTTGTACAGCCATCACCACTATCCATTTCTAAAGCTTTTTCATTACCCCAAGCAAAAACTGTAACCATTAAGCAGTAACTCCTTCTCTCCCCCCCACCCTGTCCCACCTACTTTCAGTCTCCATGAATTTGTGTGTTCTGTGTACTTCATGTAAATGGAAACATGCAATTGTCCTTTATGTCTGGTTTGTTTTAGTTAACATAATATTTTCAGGATCCTAACTTTTTATCCAAACCAAATCTTCTCCAACTAAGGATTTCAAATTCTTCTGTATTTTATAGTTTCTTCTTTACTGTGCCCAGAGTTAAGTATAAGAAAGAAGTAGTTTGGGATCCCTGGGTGGCGCAGCGGTTTGGCGCCTGCCTTTGGCCCAGGGCGCGATCCTGGAGACCCGGGATCGAATCCCACATCGGGCTCTCGGTGCATGGAGCCTGCTTCTCCCTCTGCCTGTGTCTCTGCCTCTCTCTCTCTCTCTCTCTCTCTGTGTGTGCCTATCATAAATAAAATAAAATAAAAAAAAGAAATAGTTTTCAGAAGTGTGTATTAAA